TGAAAACCGAACCTAAAATCTTGAGGCCTTACAACTTCTAGTCTGTTCAGACAGCCTCTAATGTGGTGTAATTATAACTCTAATCAATTCATGACAGTCTACAGTTTCCTTCATATGTCACTGATGAATAACTCCCCCACACTCGACGTGTCAGAACTACGCCTGAAGGTCCTGGATGTATACTGTCTAGGAGTCCAGTGTTACGACAAAATATTAGTCCAATAAATCCTAATTTTCACTGGTTATCTAACTAAGGCTAATTAATGGTATTAAATATATCACTTAACAATATTCACAAATCGTAATTCTAATAACATTCTAAATTTTTCTCTGACGAAATTGATTATTAAATAAACTTTCTATGTAAAGCGCTAATCATTTGAAAATCGACAGAAGAAATAATCTTTTGTATTCAGTGGGCGGTTTAGTGGATATTACAGTAACCTAACATTTGAATTCACGAGTTAGTTGAAGCTAGACCACCATTGAAAACCTGGAAGCACTGGACGGACGTTTCGTCCTAGTATAGTAATCCTCAGCAGTCCGCATTCATGATCCTGTCCCGCGAGATTCAAACCCAGGACCTATCGGCCTCGCGCATGGACGCCTAACATCCAGACCACTGAGCTGGCATCAAACGGTGTTAATGTCTAACCTCAACCAATCCACGAAATAGCGCCACCGTCCACCATAATATTCACAAAACCTCTCTCTGATAATTGTCATCATATGCCCACTAATGACGGTCTCCAAGAGGTATTTCTTGGAGTTCTGGTGAGAAGCAGTGACCATTGGAATTCAACCTGGTCTGTTGTGAGATAGAAACTCAGTGAAGACAATGGTGAATGTGTCGCTCAATTTCGTGGATTAGTTGAAGTTAGACATTAACACCGTTGGATGCCGGTTCAGTGGTCTAGTGTTTAAATGGACTGATAGGTCCATCAGCAGTGGATGCGTACCGCTGAGGAGTCCCATACTAGGACGAAACAGCCGTCCAATGCTTCCAGGTTTTCCATGGTTGTCTACTTCATTTGACTGATTAATTCAACTATTAAATCCTTAGTATATCCTAATTGTATTATTTTGAAAATAAGTTCATTTAACCCAAGTTAGTATTTGAATAGATTAATGAATTGCATAAATTAATAAGATAATAAAGTTTATTTGAAAAGAATGAACCATACAGAACTCGAGCAGTTTGATATAGTAATTATTATCTTTATTATGCAATAGTGAAATTAAATATAACATGATAATAGAAAACACCACGTTTATTAGAGGGATAATTCACATGATCTCATGGTAATTATACTACTCAAAATGAATCAAGGATTACTGATGTATATTCAAAGTAAAAACTGATTATTTGAAAATACAGAAAGAAAATTGGATTGTTAGCACTTGTTATTTGAGTGTCAACTCTATTTATACGTGACAGATTCCAAATGATTTGAAGCTATTTAATAAGGTAATTCAATCGCCCACAAATGTATAGCTCAGTTATTCATTCTTATTCATATACAAAAGTGTAAACGTATTGTGAGGTGACTTAATAGATCGTGGAATGCTGATATCTGTGTGGAAGTACAGACTTTTTTACCTAGTGAAAAATCAATCTGACTATATGAATCATTTTATTGTTGACTATTTTCTGCCCCCTACAACGAAATTTTATGATTCAACTTCCAGGTTATATAGAAAAGTGATATCACTTTTATTGTCCAAAATAGACCAGAGAATATATATATATATATGATGAGTGGGGTTTTTATAAGCCTTGTTTAAATCTCAGTGGATATAGGAATACGGGTAATTTATATGTCGTTCTGTTCCTTTAGGTTCCGCATTAAGATATTTAAACTTTAATCTGCATTCATGTAAAAAATGATTGTCCTATCCTTTTTATTCGATGTAGATAGAAGACAAATATAAAAACACAAATAAATAAATATATTATATTAGGAAATTCACCTCTTCTGAGTCAAGAAATCAATGAACGTATCATCAAAAACTAAGAATTGATAGTCAATTTTGGGCTGTGTTCTAGAATAGCTTATTAATTTGCTTCTGAAACCTAGACGAGATCAACTCCATAGAATACAGTCCTTGTTCGAATACATTATCTGTAGATCTATAAGAAGGTTTCCACCTGTTTTATTCCTGACTTCGCTTTAAAGTATAAACATCAACTGGTACTATCGATGTTATCTGCAACAAGGCGGCCTGCTTGAGTATATGAGCTATCTGTTTCCTGGAAACTTTTACAAGTCATCTGTTTTTTTTTTGTTTTAACACATCATTATGCCTATTAGTCGCATAACCTGTTCAGGTGCGTTTGTGAAAAGGTTACGACTGTACAAGTTACAAAAGAGTCTAATCAGAGACATCGTGGTTACTATCAATGTGCATCGAAAAGGATATACATTAATCAGATGTCGATTCCTGAATTGCTAACATCTAACTGGCTACCACTCAATATTTATCGCAAGGGTTGATCAAGAAATAAGAAAAAGAAACTTGTTGAAATGCTTTGTGTGAGAATTCTATATTGTGCCAAAAATATAACATTGAATAAAGCCAATAATAATAATCTCTACTGACTACAGATTCTCATTACAATATTAATAATTCTCTTAAAGTTAATCATTATTGAATATATAGTTAATTGTTTAATTGGGTTGATAGTAAAGAATAATTAAGTTTAAAGTAACTTTTCACTGAGAAATGATTTTCAGAAAATTTATATTTCCTGTGTAAAATTTGTTTTATACTACTAATACTACTACTAATACTGATACCACTACTACTAATAATAATACTACTAATACTAATACTACTAATAATAATAAAATCTGTCATTTTAAGTTAAACTTATACAATTTAATTTTTCTATTTATAATTCAACATAGGCAGACTGTTTAATTGTTTACTTATATTCCCATATCTAACAAATACATAGAATAAACCGATAAAATTTCCCATAAACAATAATATTCTGTGATTTTGGACAAATTTTCAATGTACAAATAAATAGATAATTTTATTTTCTATTAAATTCATTGTATGTAAATACTAAATTTTAATTATCAGAAGGCTTTTGCGGAGATTTTAATAATTTCAATAGTTGAAATCATGAGTCGATTGAAGCTAGACCACCATGGAAAACATGGAAGCACTGGACAACCCTATTGTCCTAGTATAGGAATCCTCAGAAGTGCGCATCCACGATCTCGCCCCCCGCGAGACTTGAACCCAGGACTTATCAGTCTCGAGCTCGAGCGCTTAACCATACTAGAACAAAACGACCGTCCAGTGCTTCTAGATTTTCCATGGTGGTCTAACTACAATTGACCTATCATTTCAATTATTTAACTTTTAATTGTTTATTTCTATGTATGAGTGAATTGATTTACATTGTTTATATTGTGTTTTATTTGATGCTTAGACTAATTCATGTTAAAACAAAGAAGGAAAGTGAGTAAGAACAAGTTAGTAAAAGATATTTTCTACAAAAATTAATTTATGAACAATTAATGTATAATAAGAGCATACTGATGAGGGGTCTATGCTCCTTCACAAGGGATAACAGGTGTAATCTAATAAGTAAGAATAGATTATAAGGTTTTAAAATAATAGAATGAGTTCATTTTATTTTATCTCATAATAATCAACAATATATGCAAGCTAATAAATTTATTTAACTGAGCATCTTTTTAAAAAAAATCTGCTCCATTCTAATCTGAGATTCCTTAGAATTTCACACTCGACAATTCATCAAATGACTTTGAGGATTCATGACAACCGTAGTATTTTTAAACTATTGTGTTAACATTTGACTTTACTAAATTGTTTGCTTGGACAGTTACTCTTAGTCTATCAATTTTATACCGATTTCATTATTATCCAAGTGCTCATTTGATTATTTTTTCTCTTAAACTCAGTTCACATATGCAGTTATTAACATAATAACGCATCATTTAGTTGCTTCGTAAATTCAATTCCAGTTCTAAACTTAATTATTACTTAAGAATTTTTATGAAATGATAGTGACTTATTTCTGTCTCATTTCATTTTTTTCTCCCAGTCATATAATCACATAAGTTTAGTAACATAAAATTATTGACACTATAAAGAATGCAATTAATTAGATCAATTCATAGGGGTCTAATTTCAAAATTTAGTTTTTCATATCAATTATAATGTTTTTTACAAGAGTTAATTTGGATTTTTGATTGAGATTATGAGTCAACCGATGTTAGACCACCATTGAAAACCCGGAAGCGCTGGGCGGCTGTTTCGTTCTAGTACTAGACTCCTCAGTAGTGCGCATCCAAAATTACGCACGTGGGATTTGGACCCAAGACCTCTGGTCTTGCGCGTGAACGCTTCAGGTCCAGACCACTGAACCAACATCCAACGGTGTTAATATTTAACTTCAACGAATTACAGAAATTGCTCGGACATCTTCCATTGTCTATGGTAGATATTTGTCTCTATCTGACACAGACGAAACAGCCGTCCAGTGCCTCCGAGTATCCATTCATCGATTCATGATGTCAATCAGAAACTTAACAACCTCCACAACCCCATAATGTTAATTTGTATATATTTATTATATTAAAAATACGATAAATATATATTTAATATCAGATGGGTTTTGTGGATATTATGGTAATTTCAATGGTCTAGCTTCAACTGACTCGTGATCTTAACCATTGAAATACATATTTAACAAAATTTTCGTCGCAAAACCATCATTGTCTTTAATGCTGGATTTAACTCAGGTCTTATAACTTGTTTTGCTGACTAATTTTCAATCTTTAATGTGATTGGTTAATTTCAGTAAACTAATATAATAGGCGAATCAAAATAGAGGTCAATGAAATAGATTCCACCAATCCAGCTATTTTAAGAATCTGAAGATAGGGAAAATACACACGACATACAAATAACGTGCTCTTAATTCATTTTAGGATTTTCTGTTTATATGACAGTTGTATTGTCTCAATTATGTTAAGATTCCTTAAATATAATTTGAAAGAACACGGTTAAAAGTTTTCATGAGAAACATTGTTAATATTATCTGAATAATTGATTCCATGAACTTTCTCGGTAACAAAAATTGAGTTATTTGAATGTGGGACTTATCTACATTGCCTTCGACATTTGGTTAATAAATGTATATTTACTGAATATTTCAAATCTAATGACTATTTCAAAGATTCATTTATTGTTCACAAACAAAAATCAAATATCCTGAAACATTCTGATGATACATTGATGGCTTCAATCGATATACCATTTCTTCATGGATCTAAAGATCGTAATGTATATGCTAATCCGGATGTTTATACTAGTGCTGGAGTTGTTGCCACCACGTATTCACGATTTAAAACGAGCTTTTGGATTGATAGGATTTTACTCATTTTAACTGTATGTATCCCTGTCATTCAAGCATTAGTTCTCTTATTATTGCATGCTCTTCTGGGCGTTACTCGTTGTCTTCCAGATACAAAAGAAAATAAACTTGATTATTACACAATTACAAATACATTTATTGATCGTGCATGTGGTCTACAACTGACTACGGAAGTACTGCAAGGAACAGTTAAACGATTACCACATTCTTTTAAATCTTCAAGTCAAATTAATTCTGAATCAGAAGTAACCAATAAAGAAATTAGTACTATTCGTCTACAGCATGAATGTTATCCATTTGTTTTAATTATATATGCAATAGCAATGTGGATACCTCATTACTTATATCATCGCTCTACAGATCGAACTGCTAGACGTGATTTATGCTTGGTACGTGCCGAATTACATAGTTTCAGAAGAGCTGTTACACAAGAACTTGCTTATTTACAAACACTTGCAACTGCATCAACTGATGTTGGTGCACCAACTGGAACTTTTCTATCACCTACATCAACTATTCCAACAGGTCCTATAATACGTCAAAATGGTTTATATTATCCTCATACTGGAATAGGATATGGTGTACAAAATGATGGAACTAGTGGACGTACAACTGCTGCAACATTTGGTGGTGGATCAGCTCTATCACAAACAACTGCGCCAACTGTGATTCATGCACAACAACAATCTGCAACAATTGGTACAATTAGATGTGGTGGTATTGTTGATAGTCCAACACTTTCACCAGCTATACCAATAAGCTTTGGTGATGCTGATTTATCAGCTCCAGGTTTATTAGATTTACCATGTTTTCATGCATGTCATGCAGATTGGTCATTAAATACTTATTTAGCTGCATGGCAAAATACCGATTTCTATTGGTCAAGATATATAACTAAACATATAGTTTTATTAGTATTTCATGGATGCACTATTTTATTCACTTTTATTATTATTGGTATTTATAAAGGTACACCATTTGCACCATTATTTATATGCCAAATTAATGATTATCAATTATCGAATAAATTATTTATTTGTATGTTACAAACAACCTTTATTGTAAATATGTCTATATTAAGTATAGGCTTTTTAAATTTAACTGGATTAATATTACAAATGATTTATTTCTATGAAAATTTTATACATATATTTTGGTTATTTAATAATAATGGATCTTATATGGGTATAACAACACAACCAAATATTTTTTTAACTGGTGTCAATGAAAGTCGACGATGTTTTTTTGCTGATTATATACGTTTATTAGCTTATACAGCATTTAAAGATACACATTGTGAAATACGTACATTAACTGTTAATTATTCACCATATTTATATTATTCAGATTTTCATTTTCTTTCATTATTATGTAATGAAAATATTCATTTATTTTCAGATTCTATACATATACATTATTGGACTGAACGTTATGCACGTTTATGTTGTAAACATTTTCATCGACCATATTGGGCTATAAGACGTGGTAGTTTAGGACATTTAGTACGTTGTGAAGATTTATCAATGAAATTCAATTTTAGTAAAATTAAAATTCGTGTTGAAGTTAATGATTTTGGTTTTTGAAAATGAATCTTCTCTTTTTTTTTTCTTTTTTAAAGAAAAAAAATGCGCTAGAATCATATTGTTTCTTGATATTTACTTTTCTTTTTTAAAGGAAATATAATAAATTATCATCGCACAAATATATAACATACAGGGAGTCTTATCAAAGTTTAAAAAAAAAAACAACAACTCTATTTTATTTCATTTCTTTAAGATTTCCAAATGTGGTTTAATGAAATTATAACAATATTACTTATTATATACATATTAGTAATATATTGTATTCGCTTTGTAATAATAAAAAGTACAGTATTAATTTTATTACATTTAATCATAATACATATTCGCTTGATGTATACTGATTGTTGTTTGTTCTTTTCGAACACTAAACACTTCGTTTAATGTTTAATATAGAACTCAGGAAATTTCAATTTTCTATACAATCATGTATGCTTATAATACATAGATGTATAGGTATACATTTATCAGTTGTATTTATTTGCTTATTTTTTCGCTTATTCTATACAACTTCTTCTTTTTGTTTGTTTTTTGTTGTGGTTGTTTTATTCGATACTGTTGAGGGGTCTTTGCTTGTTTGTTAGGAATTTTCTCTTAATCTTGTTGTTTGATTACAGTCAATTAATAATAAAAGTAACAATCATAATAAAAATTGATTTACTAACTGGTTTTCTTAAATTATTTGATGAATTGAATCTTTATTCTGAAAGAAACATATGACACTGTATTATGTATCAGTTGTGCATTAGGATCTATCTTATTTGGTCATTGTTCAACCGATGCTTTTTCAGTATACAAAAAAATGATAAGGAATGGATACATTCAGTTTTCATCATGACAAATTGAATTCTGTTATAAAAGTTGAATGTTATCTTCATTGATATTTATAGTTTTAGTCAGCCAAATGATTAATTAGCCTCAAATTATGATGAAACATCTTTTTTCAAACAATATTGACTTTATAAAAATTACCTTTGATCTAACCAAATAATGATAAAACTGATCAATGTTTTGACCAATCTCTAGCTATGCAAGAGTTAATGCAACACAATATATTCCTCAATCCAACTTACACTAACTCGACAGGCTGGATCAATCATGTATATCAGTTCAAGGTCAAATGATGGAGGAAAGATGCAAGTGGGTGCAGATTATAGGTTATATAGTTATCTGACGTACCCTATTAGTCGCAAATCTACTTCAATTTTCTGAAGGATATATATATATATATATATATATAATCTTGCTACTCCTTGATAATTTTTTACCTAGGTAGCAGGTTTGGCTCGCATATCGGAAGCATGTATATCAGTATCAGACTCGGACAATCGCTTAACTCAATACAACTTCCCCAATAACTCTTGATGCATACCTCAACTATTGAGAAAACGTAATACAACCAAATACTCATTCCCGTTCAAAACAACAATGACAAATAGGAACAAGAGCGGGTATTTATAGGATGTCTTAGTATATCCATGAAAAGTATCCATTCTGAGTGTCCGTTTCATGCCGCTTGATTCAAGAGAACGTGCAAGGTTTGAGGATCTAAAATAATCATTGTTCAAAAAATCTCCTTATCGATTTGGATAACATTTTTGAGAACTATTGAATTTTCCAACATCCAACGAAATATTCCACCGAAGTTTTAGTTTATTATGCTCTAAACAAATATTCACAAAGTTAGTAATAAGAATAGATGCTTGTCGAAAAGCATCAATGTTTATTAATCCAACCATTCCGACAATTAATAAGGCTGCTTTTTAGATTCCATGCCCTTACTAAAGGCAACCCGGTTATGCCTCTCTTATTTCAGATAGTTACTTCTACGAAAGTGTTCAGTTTGATGAAATAAATATTCAGTAGTTCCTAGTTTTTGATAATTATTCAGGTCATGCTGAATTGCGATTAAATGTTTAATAACAAATAGAAAACAATAATTAATCGTTTTATAGGGAACAGTGAATAACTTACACATAGTTAAGAAAACAGAACGTTTATTTTTAGCATATTTGGTACGGGGTTATCAGTGAAATACGCAACGAACGCTTAATGTCACTTTGGGCCCGCCATCCGGTTGCATCTACGTTTACTTTCGATCAGCGCGCCACTATAAAAAATAACTAATTGAGCTTATGGTATAAAACGAATTCATACTATTCTACCCAAATCTTTCCATCTTCTCTCTTTAAGATGATAAAGCAAACTGTGTATATAACTAAGATTATATAGTTGAGTAGTTTGTTAATATTTGTATTGGCTTAAAGATAGTTTCCATCACAAACCACCATGGACTGAAACACCAATGAAATTCAGAAGAGCACAATATAACTTATTCATCCTACTCTAAAATTTTTCAGCAGTTAGGAAATGGGATATCACATGACAGTGGGTACAGGATTGTCAAGTCTTGTGGTGAATATAATGTTGGAAAACGTAAACGACGGAATAATCGTTTGATGATTGAGTACTTTACAGCTCATTAATTTGGTCTCATTTATGATCGTTAATGTACACTGTTAAGAAATTCTAAAATCCGAAACAGACAAGAAGTTCAACCTTTTCTTTCTTTTCAATATATTTATTGCTAAGATTAGTTAACAGTGAAAACTTTTCAAATTAATGATATTCGATAATGTGAAAATCTAACCCCATTTTATGAAAAATTTTCTATTTTATTAGCTTGATAGTTTAAGTAGTATTCACTGATACGAAAACAATTCGTCCTTCTTAGGGTGAACTTATTAAAATCACTTCCTTTCCAACCGATTCATAGTCAATCATCTATAAATAGTATTCAGAAATTAAGTGACCCGAGTTAACTGTTATGACAATTAAAAATACTATATGAATATAGTGTGCTAAAAAAGAATTGTATTGTATATCATTAAAAATCTTCCCATTTCATCAATCAACTAATATATTTTTAACTAGTGATAAAAAAACCAGATAAACAAGCCCAAATTTCAATGTATCTGAAAATAAGTACATCATCAAAGGGAAACTGTCTTCGTAAACATTGAGATATTGAAAAGCCGATTTTCCAAATCATTGGAAATAACATTTCTTCTACTCTAAGCTTCGTATTGTCTCTTCCATATGACCTTTGATTAATGAATAGAACAGAGATAAAATTCCGTCTTGAATTTTATTAACGTGCATCTATAAGTTTACTTGATCTTTTGGAACGGGTTACATTTTTCGAACAAAGTTTTTGCTAAATGCATTTGAGAATATTACCTTATTTGTGTTTTGAAGGGAAAGCGTACATCAATCAGTAGATGAATGCGGAAACTTGTCCATTTTGATCATACTTCTCCCACCAAAAAACATCTTTTAGAATCATTTAGACGAACAAACCATTAGGCTCTGTGGCGGCACTTGTGTTTTCCGTTGGGATATTCCATCCAATACAAATCCATCTTTGTGCATACGAATTTGACTACTCATAAGTAAGCGAAGTTTTTACACAACATTGTTTTTACATGGTGTTTGCCAACTGTATAAACAATCATCTATAAAGAAAGACCACTTAACATGAGTATTGATTATGTTGATTCCATTTGTTAATCAGTTACATAAATATTAATGAAATAGCAGCAACTATAGAGATTATTTAATAGTGATGTTGACAATTCACTCGCTCAATGACAAGAGGACTCGATATTTATTCATATTAACTTGTTTATACTTTCCTTCTCTTTTTTCTAAACAAATCTCAAGCTTAATTAATTATTTAATCATAGAAAACTTTTAAGTAATTTGTGGTCTGTTTCTTATTATGGCCAATCATTCAATTGACTTATGAATTCAACTATAAAATTTCTATTTACTTTTTCGTACATTTATATTTGCAAATATTTCAGTAGTATATAAACATTTCATTCATCAATCTGTTGCGATTAACAGGTAGATAAGTTACATGACTGATTAGTATGGAAATGAATTTCATTCTTAAAATCTGATATACTTAAATTATAAATCATAAAAATTAGATGATAATTACTAATCTTATCTGAAGTACTGACCAGAATTTGAGTATTTAAGAACTAATTATAACAGCCGAATTCATGTTATGTGATATTAGGACTTATCTCATATACTTAAATCTAGTCGATTAATATGCATCGTGAACAGATTAGATGTGACTTCCATGGCTGTAATATTAAATACAGACTTGATCTATTGTGGCGGTATACATTTCAATATCATTAGTATCATCGAGGTAAGTGCCAAGAAATATTAAACTTATGTTAAATAGGTGTTGATGTGAACAGGGAAACAAGAAACCCTGACAAACTACGAAAGCTATTTTTCGGGACGTCATTTCATTTTGTTCAAAGCTTGTAAAACGCTGATATTTATTTTTGTCCCTATTTTATTCTACAGAACATGAGCTTTCGTTCGATGTATCATTCATTGCCATACCCTTTTTTGTTCCGAAGCTATTGTAATTTAAACATAATATTTTGCACCTTGTTTTCTATCCTAATTCCCAATTTTGAACATAATTGTATTTTCCCAAATTATCGTACGTTGTGCTCAGGATATTCACTTATTTATCATGTACCTTTTTGCGTTAATCTGAATTCAGAGAATACAGAGATTTCTCAGGAAACCAGGATATCTCAATACAGCCAATAGTGTCCCAACTGACTTGTCTTCTCTCATTTGCGTGCTTGCCAGCCAATCAGGTGCTAGAATAGTTTTCTCTTTACCCCACCTCGGACTCACGCGTACTAGCCTCAAGGTTAAACCGGCCAACCTATTGCGTCAAGGTCTTAATCTAGAGTAGACAGATCAAGGTCATAACAGGGCTAATTTGTTATATAGCTGACTTATAGATTCTCGAATTATAAGATCCATTATAATCAATGAGAAGAATTCTTTAAATAATTGGATCATTATGTTCATAATGATCCGATGCATAACTATAGCTTTGGATTGATTTCTTAAATGATAATAGTAATATTTCATATTTGAGATTTTGATCGGTTTGTAACAATAATCATGCATTTATAATCTATCTTTTAACTTTCTGTGTTGAATGGTTATTGAACAACCTTCAACACTTATTCAGATAACTCATCTATTGAATATAAGAAACAAAAATGTTTTTGCAAAGAAAATAAATTTTTCTATTACATCTACATCATGACAAACCTTTATAAAAGGATTCCAAATGTTATCCTAAGGCAACTAAATTACCTTTGATTCCTAGTGATTTAGTAAGTTCACACTGTTGAACAGTACCTATATATGAATAAATAATTATTTAAAGATCCTTAATTCTCAGTAGTTTTCTAATTGATGTTAAATTGGTTTAGAAGCTTTCAGGAAATTATACCAATCCGTACAACCTTATTTACACCTGCTATCCCTCGTGGAGCATAGGCCGTCGACCAAAATTCTCCAACTTATTCAGGTTGATAACCCTAATTAGGTTTAATCTATTTCAATTATCTGTAATCAAATAGCCTAGTGTTTATAGGTAGTAATAATATTAACAATAATGGTAATTAAAGAGATATAAATGAATTAATAATAATTATGATTAATTATCAGAATGGAGGTTTATGGAGTTCTAGTGAGAAGCCGTGACCAGTGGAGC